ATATAACTGCTGTTAGAAGTGTTGACCAAAGAACACAATAGAATTTCAGTAATTAACACACTTCATTATTCATAATATATGTGGCAAAAATTGAATACCTGTATCAGCATTGCTGCTTCTCACAGAGAAAAACAGAGTCGCCCAGATGAGAACAAACATCCTTTGATGCTTGAGACAGTCAGTCTCTCTCCACAGGACAAACTTTGTACTAAAAATGCAATAAACAGGCAGGAACTGAACCAAAGGAAACTCCACAGTTAACATCATCATCTTAAAACAGGATGTTGCACGTTCAGTTATTCCGTAGTTGCAAGACTAACACACTTTGCGCAGGGCTTTGACCACTTTTTTTTTTTTTTAAATGGTTAATCACTTTGTGCTCAGTTCTTGAAACATTCTGTATCAGTGGATTTTATTACAATAATCTTTACAACAAGAGCACAAGAACAATTATCTATAATCCCAGCCATGTTCCAGGGCCCCTGTCCAATGTTTAAGCCCTCTGAACCATTTACTGCAGCAACTGAGACAAGTACAGACTTTCTTCAACCCTCCCATCCCCAACCACTCTTTCTCCAGCACAGTCCACCCGAACTCTACAAGCAAAGCCAGGGACGTGGAAAAGCATCGTTATGCTAACCATTTACATTTCACAAGGATATTTTAGCATTACTGTTGTGTTTTACCTCTTTCTGTTCCACAGTGATCTCTGCTGATTGTTTCTGCCATGAACTGACTCTTCCTCTCCTCACTCTGTTTTTCCCCTGTTTGTGCAACAGCACAGTTTGAGGAAGTTTCTCCACTCAGCGCTTAGCAACATCTCTCCTTTCCTGAGACCGATAGGGAAGAATTTCATAATATCACAATATTTACAGCGGAGTCCAAAAGTCTGAGAGCCAGTGTAAAAATTTGATTACAAATGACATATTTTAACCTTAATTTAATTAATAAAATAAAGAAAACTTGATTTTTTTTTAAATCTTAAAATCCTCTTCATGGCTGTGCAGTGTTGTGAAACCTTCAATAAAAAGGGAAGTACTGTAAATGTTGGATTTTTTTTTTTTTTTTATCTGTTATCTTGAGAAACTTCCCATCTGGTTTCTTACAGTAACATCACATCTGTGGAATATACATGATGTTTGCTTATTACACAGGTCAGTATCACATAAATACAAAGTACAGATTAAGAGTCCAACGACTACCGCATTTGTGCATTGCAGGCCACAAATGATCAGAAATCACATGACGGAAGATGTGACCAGATAACTTTTAAGTGGTGGGAAGTAACTGAGTACATTTACTCAGATACTGTATTAAAGTATAGTTTTGAGGTTCCTTTGCTTTAGTATTTCCACTCTATATCTTCCTCACTGTATTTCTGAGGAAAATATTGAACTTTACACTCAATGGACTTTATTTAATTACTAACATGTACATTTTTACACTGGTTTATTGCTACTTAAGCAGCATCAACAAATATTAATATACAGTAATGTTAAACTATCCTGAAGAAAGCCACAGAGAGTTTCACCTACTATATATTTCAGTCAGGTTATCCCAGTGTCCAAACTCATTCCTGTCAACATCTGTGGTCCATCTCTGACCTGCGCTTCTACCTGGGTCCAAGTTAGCATCGAAAGCTATAGCTGCTAGCTAACCTACTGTACAGAAGCACACACTAGCAGTGTGGGAAATTTGATAAATCTACTGACAGTTTATTTTAAGTAATTTTACTGTTTTTTGTCAGTTACTCAGATTGGATTAAAAAAAAAACCCACAATGGCTTCCCCTCACAGTGTCTCTCTCCAGAGTCCTGAACACCCACAGCTGCGCATGATGAGGCCAATCAACAGTTATCACCTCCACCTGCTGCTGCCTCGAGCAGCCTAACCACCGGTGTTGCCAGATTTGACTGACGGCAAGAAGACCAATCAGAGCCCGCCCCAATTTAACCCGCCCAGTCCTTTTGTGCAAAGGTTGTAAGCGCTAAAAGTAAACTGAGGATGCTTTCAAAACTAATACCACGAATATTATTTCTATTTACGAATTGAATTACAAAGAGCGGTAAACACAACTAACGAAAAACAAGTCAATAATTGCTGGGACCACTCTTGTCTTTAAAAAAGCACCAATTCTCCTTTACGTACACCCTTTTCAGCTCAAAGTTTTTCAAGGTACCTGGCAGGTAGGTTGTTTTCGAGAACTTGCCACAGTTATAAATATCATATAAATTAAATCTTAACGAGTGAGTCTGTGTCACCAGATTTCAATCAGTTTTATAATTCAGTAAAAGAGAGAAAATCATACATGATTTTATATATTGATCCACCAAATCAGCAAACACTGTTTATGCCTTTAAATCTTAAAACTCACTTTTAGAGAATGGCAAAATTATAAAGACTTATGATAGAAGCTGATATCTGTCAGTTCAGAGTCTGACCAATAACATCATTCTCTGGTGATCTGTCTGTTTTCTGCAGTGACATGTAAGTTAAGAAAGAGAAAAAGAGATTAAGCCATGCTGCGTTGTGTTGACAGAGCCTTTAAAACATAACCTACAGATGCAGTAACATACCAAAGGAAGGCGACACAGATTGTGTAGCAGATGTTCACACTGAGAGACACACCAGCAAGGGAAGGACTGCACTGTAAGGTCCACAATGTTGCACAGGACCTAACATGAGAAAAGACAGTAGATTGTATAGTTTATGCTGTATTGTGTTGTCAAATAGCATGTATTAAAAACCAGGGGAAAAGGGATTTGAACACACTTTTATGAACTATAATTGCGCCATAATACATTGTGCTTTGTATACAATAACATAAATTTAAATAGTTGTCAACCTGTTTTTTCTCTGCTCTGAACTCAGATTTTCAGCTGCCTTGTAATGAAGAATAGCAACTAACAACTGGCAGTTTTCTGTATAAGAACATTTTACATTTATATTTCACTGTTATGATAACCAGATTACAGCTGCAGCAACCAGCATCTTCTCTCTGTGTATTTGCTGGAGCGCTTCATACCTTTAACAGAGACAGTTGCTCTTGGAGAGAATGCAAATCCGTCTATCCTCCCAAACATGAAACCATTAACTCTGAGCTGATATGATCCAGAGTCTGACTCAACAAGATCACAGATGATGATGCTGCACTTCCTTTGACTCAGGTCGGGCTCCAACAGTGACACCCATCCTCTGAACTAAGGCTGAGCTTTTATGTTGTTCTTGTGAGTGCGGAATATCATGTCAGAATCATCACATCTTTGTTTAGTTGGTTCACATTTGTACCAAACTAAATTCTGGAGAATGAAGTCAAAACCAGCTTTGAGAGAGCACGGTATCACAACAGAGAGACCGGCCTCTGCTGTTATTTCTCCTTCACTAAAAGTGACACACAATCCATTTTCACACTGTTGTCTTCCCCTCATTGATGCACCTGTTGAATGTGAAGGAGACAATGACATTGGCAGATGATATTTAGATTTTGACAGTAGCCTACATTGTGATATGTAATGAATGATGAGGAAAAAATACAGCGATGACTGTTTCTGTTTTATATAACTGCTGTTGATAGCAGTGTTGACCACATAACACAACAGAATTTCAGAATTGTATCTTTGGTAAACACAATTCCTTGTGGGAATAATTTGGAAGCATGTCAGAAAAACATTTATGAGGATATTTATATGTTAAGGATAAATATTAAATATTACTGCCAGGCCACTGTTGCCGGCACAGAGGTATAATAAAGATGCATACCTTTGGCAGCATTGCTGCTTCGCATAGAGAAGAGCAGAGTCACCCAGATGAGCAGAAACATCCTAATTTGTTGCTTCAGACAGTCAGTCTCTCTCCACACGACAAACTTTGCACTAAAAGTGCAGCAAATATGCAGGAAGTTCAGTTGCCAAAACTGAAACAAAGGGCACTCCACAGCTGGCATCACATGTTTAAACATATATAATAATAATCATATTTTGACATATACATAATAATCTGAGACTTAAATTGTGAAGCAGTTTGTAACAGCTGTGCTACATAAATAAACAGTTACAGCTGCTCAACATCACCTCTGATACAATAAATCCCTGTCCAGGTCTGGATCGTCAAGACGTCAGAACTCTCTCCATAGTCTCTGCCCAGTGTTTCTGCTCTGAACTGACCTTCCTTCCTCTGCTCGTCTCTGTCTTCCTCTTCTTCCTCTCTCTTCCTCTCTTTGTGCAACTACTATAATATCACATCATGTCTGCTGTATCATGTCCGTTTGCTTTTTCTTTTTTTTTTACATTCTTTCCATCAGTGCAGCGTAAAGTGAAAATTCTTTCAAAAGGGGAAGGGTGTGTGAAAGCTTAAAATAAACCTTGGCATTTGGAGAAACTAACAAAGACATTGTGTTTGCAGGTTGTCTGTCTGTCCATCCATCCCACTCTTGTGACCATGATATCTTCTCTGTGTTATTCCTTCACATTTACACATTCACTCATAATCAAGGGAGAACTGATAAGAATTTGGTGGTCAAGGTCAAAGGTTAAGGTCACTGTGACCTCACAAAACAAGTTTTTGGCCGTAGCTTAAGAATTCATACACTAACCATGACACATTTAACGGAAATGTCTAATACGATAAAATGATGAAGTGAGGACATTTTTTCTGCAAAACACTGGCCATCATTCGACAATGTGGTTGTTTCCGAAATCACTCACTCATTCACTACACCCCGTGTTTTAATGGTTTATATTTTGCCATGTGTAGGTGCTGTTCTCAGCATTGCCTCATGGCATCACTATAATTCAAATGTCTCTGATAAATGTTTTCATAATTTATTGTATGCCTGCAAATTGAACACTCACAGCACAGAGTACAGACATTGTCCTAGACAGTAGAGATGTTGTGTTGTTGAAGAGCCATGTACAGCTGTTCTAAGTCTGGTTCATATCTAAACCCTCTTTTAAGAAGGTGAAGTGTTATTTACAAATAATGGAAGAAACTGTAACAAATGTATATATCATAATGGCTTTTATTGAGCCCAGCAATTACACATACTTCAAAGATTTGCTGCTTTTCAGGGAGACTACAAAGTCTTCATTCCAGATATTATCAAAGATAAATGTGCAACCACAATTTCCTCTCATACCTTGTTACAACTAAATTTAAAATCTGATGTAATTTGACTTTAAAATGCCTGTTTTAGATCTGCAAACTAAATCCCAGTTAAAATGGATGACTGTGACTGTACTGGAAATCTCTCAGGAGTGAGGATGTGTGGTGTATGAATGGAAGCAAGGTGTTGCAAAATATTGCATGCTCCACCAGCTGTGCTTGTATATTAAAAAAATAACATAAAAAGAATCATTTTTTATAATGCAAAACATAAGCTACAGTTACATTTAAATGCTATATTCATAAAACTTTACTCATGTTGAAAATATGATTTAACAGAACGGTCTGTTTACTCAAAACCCAGAGATTGGTACCACCTCCTATTACACTTGTCAGTTCAGAGGCTGGCCAATAACATCATATTCAGGTGATCTGTCTGTTTTCTGCAGTGACATATAAGTTCTGTCCTCCTGGTTTGGTTTCACCTTTTTTCTTGAGATCCTTTGGAGAGAAAGAAGAGTGGGTTATGATTAGTTGTGCAAAAGTCTCCAGATCATCAACAGAACCTCTGTAACATAAAATGAAGATGTAGTGACTCACCAAAGGAACACGAAGCAGATTATGAAGGTGACATTCACAATGAGAGACACAACAGCAATGGTCAAGAAAGGCACTACACTCAGTCCATGATGATCTGCCATGTGAGGTGACATAAGGTAGACTGTTATGTTTATGCTGTAACTTCTCTAATTTAATTATTCAGAGATATTCAGATGACAGCTGATAGTTGAGAGCCAGGGTGAAGGGTTAGGAGTGTTTGGATTTGGGTTGACTGCTTTACCTCTTTTTCCACCTACTGCAGCCAAGGAAAAAAGATTGTCTTTGTAAACTAATTATGTGATAAGAGATAGTTTCTCTATTGTCATGTTTGAAGCTCAACATCAATGACAGATCATATGTGAACGTCCTGAGCGTGTTACAGTGTGTGTGTGTGTGTGTGTTCACCTTCTTGCTTCTCTGAAGTAATGATGTTGAGGTTCATCTTTGCTTCCCCATTTTCATTGCCGCTGACACAGTCAACAACAGTGTTGCTGGGATCTTTTACAGTGAGAATGACGGTGCTGTTGACTGTGTGGTTTGTCACAGTGGTAATGACTGAGTACTCAGTGTAGTTCTTCAACAGCGGCCATTTGATGGTGGGTAAGGGAATCCCCTCAGTGATACACACACAGGTCAGGAGCTCCGACTGAACCTCACATCTAGAGTTTTTTAAGATCTTTGAAAACCCTGTAAGCACAGAAGAAGGATATCAAAATCGCAGCAAACACAAAGTAAATTAATATGAACATACATTTTCTTTCAAAGGAGACTAGTACAGTTTATTTTTCACTCCCTCTGTTTGATATGTATAATCGGTCAAAGTGGCATTTTAGTATGAAACCTCGTTTTCAGTCGCTCACCATTTGCCATGTTAACATTACTGCATTACGTGTTAATACAAACTCAAAACTTTCTGAGTGATTAGTTTGCCCTCTTTGCCCTCAGGGAGGATCACTCGTAGCCTCTCCAACAGCGCGGAGACGATCAAGTCAGCGGTTGCATTCTGGAGAGGGATGAATTAAAAAAAAACGCTCTGTGTATCTAAGCAGAAGCATTAACTAGCAGTGGGTGGAAATGTCAGTTGTCTCATGTGCCTGAAGAGCAAGATAGTCACATTTTTTTTTTAACTTCTTCCAGAATGTAATTTTTAAGGAGGTGCCTTTGAAAACTGTGACGGTCTTCAGGTGCTCCTCCAACATACTGTCTAGTGAAGCAACAAGATTTACTAAACCCCTGAAAACGCCAGGATTGTCTGATGATTCAGTCTCATTGTGACCACAAAGGGCCAGCTCAAAGCCCCCGCAGAATCTAACTAAGTCAGTTATCTTAATGAGACATGCCTGGTAATTCTCCATGTCTGCCCATGTGCACTCATGTTTCTTAATCTTCTCTGATAAGTGTTTCATATCCCAAACTCCTGTAACAATGCATGTTGTGTTAAGTATGGAAAGTAAAGTAGCATGACTGCATCCAGTTATCCATGGCTTTCTATTGTACCACTTGAGGGATAAAATGTACGTTTCGCCTTTTTCATTAGTCTGTTGTGTGATTTTTTTATGTCTGGTCGATCACATCTGTGACACAAAAAGACATGTTGCACAATTATATAGCATCACTAAATTCAAGAACACAGATGATGATGTAACATTCAACACAGTTCAGAAAACCCTCAGAAAGAGCGAATCTCAGTGAAGTACAGTATGTGCTACTCACAGGTCACATTCAGAGTCACTGTCTCCTCTGTTGCAGCGTTTCCTGTGAAGCTGACCTTACAGGTGACACTGGTGCCGTGGTGTTCAGCTGAAGCGTTAAAGGTCAAAGTTGAACTGTGTCTCTGTGTGACAGCGGTCAGACTCTCAGTCTTGAAATCAGTGATGTTTCCTGTGATGTGGGAGCCTTTCTCTCCTGCTCCTCTCCACGTCCAGGTGATTTGAGGATCAGATCCAGAGCAGAGACCAGGAGCAGTGCAGGTCAGTGTGGTCTGCTGTCCCTTTGTCAGTGGAGGAATCGTCACCTCGGGCTTCTGAGTCAGAGCTGAAGGGAGACCAGTCCATAAGTGGAATCAGGTCTTTCACTTAAATTTGGGTTCAATTAATCTGATATTTTGATAAACTCTTCAATGAGGGAACCAGTAGGAACTGGCTGCCCACAGAGGTCGACAAATGCCAAACATTACTTTATGTCCCATTAAGACTGTAAATACACCAGATATGTCAGTGCAGTTCAAAAGGCACAAAATTTCACTTTATATGTTTATTGTAGTTCTTCTTACCTTTAATAGAGACAGTTGCCCTTGGAGGGTATGTCAACCCATCTGATCTTCCATTCAGAATACCATTAACTCTGAATTGATATGATCCAGAGTCTGACTCCTTCAGGTCATTGATGATGATGCTGCAGTTCCTCTGACTCACATCAGGCTCCAACTGTGACACTCGCCCTCTAAACTCAGACTGAATTTTTATGTTGTTTTTGTTAGTGTGGAATATAACGTCTGAATCACTACATATTTGTTTAGTTGATTCACATTTGTGCCAAACTAGCTTTTGGGGGGTAAAGCTATAACTAGTAGTGAAAGAGCACGGTATCACAACACAGAGTCCGGCCTCAGCTGTTATTTCTCCTTCAGGCAGAGTGATACAGTATCCATATAGGAAGCGTAAACATTGTTGTCTTCCTCCCACTGATGCACCTGTTAATGCAACAGTAAGACAGAAACAGGATATGAGAAAATTAAAACATATTATTTTGACAATACACCATGACATTAAATAAATGATGAAGTGTTGACCAAAGAACACAATGGAATTTCAGTAATTAATATGCTTCTTTATTCATAATATATGTGGTAAATAAATGAGCAATTAACTATCTATCCTAGCGTTTCCATGTGAATAGATGTTGTGAGTAATGTGTAATATGCTGGTAAATTCAGTGTGGAAAAACTAAATACTTATAATTTGAAAGCTTGTCTGGAGGACCTTCATAAGGACATTTATTTTGGCAAATTACTGCTAACTATTTCATAAATATCTTTAATGTTGGCAACAAAACAAGATTAAAAATAAGAATTGAATACCTGTATCAGAATTGCTGCTTCTCACAGAGAAAAACAGAGTCACCCAGATGAGAACATTGACATAAGGATGTTAACTTTTAATGATACAAGAAGAGATCATTGATGAAGACAGATCCCATTCATTAAAATCTATCTACATTAATCCATTAGTTGATGTATGAGGTCGATAATGTCTCATCCAGTGTTATCAGAATCCTCTCTGATTGATGCAAAAGTTATATAATTCCTACACTGAACATCCAACTTTATTTTTTTTTTTCAAAATTCATTTAGTGAAATTAAAATTATATTTAAACCAGTCTATCCCAGATTTCCCCTGAAAATGAATAGATGTTGTGGATCATCCTAATTTTAACAATCTACAACCAACAAAAAGAGAAAAAATACTTATATGTGGAGCTTGAATTGGCAACATTAGTTTTTCAAAATATTTACAATTTAACACTTAAAGTGTTGTGAGCAGCTTCAAAAGATAAATATTGGAAGCATAACAATATTACAATTAATCTATCTCAGAGTCCCCCTGCTAATGAATAGATGTTGTGGATTGTCCTAATTCCAACTGGCTACAAACTACAGGAATAGAAAAAACACTTACATGTTGCTTCTGGATGGGCAACATTAGTTTTTCAGTGTATTTACATTTTAACATTGAATGCGTTGTCAGCAGCTTCAAAAGATAAGAATTAAATAACAAGATTACATTTAAGCTATAAACTCTTACCTGCATCAGCACTGTTGCCTCTCACAGAGACGAGCAGAGTCGCCCAGAAGAGAACCAACATCCTGATTCAAAGCTCGAGACGGTCGAAAAACTCTTCATTTCACAAACACACAAAAAAAAACAACATATAAGAAGTTCAGGTGATGAAACTGAACCAGCAACACCTGTGTGGCATTAATAAATATCCTCAGCATAAGACATCCTGGACTCCAGCGCTCTGTCTTCACCACAGTTGATAAGAATTTTCCCAAACACAGTTTCCATTAACAATTTTGAAATGATTCAGTGTTACCTCTTTCTGTCTCTTCTCTGCTCGGTGTCTCTGCTCTGAACTGACTCTACTTCTCTTCTTCCTCCTCTTGTACCTCTTCCCTCTTTGCACTACAACAAGTTTGCAGGAAGTTTCTCTAAACACTGCTGGCTGTTACTTCCTCTCTCATTAGACTACCATGTTTACAGCTAAAACGCCTATATCAACTGAAATGTATTTTTAGCATAAAAATTGTTCTTTGTTACCATCCACTCTGCCAGGTACAATGTAAATGATATGACTGATTCAGCAGCTGCTACAAGCCCAAAAACTCTACACTATGCATTAACTCTCTCTGTCTGGGATATTTTGCATTGCTGCCAACTATTCTTTTTAAGTCATAGCCATGTTTCTGTTCCTCCCGGCTACAGCTTGAGTCTTTTCACTTATGTATGTATCTGCTTTGTGTGATGGTTAGATTACTGTTATATGGTCATCCAGAGCAGTCTTTTCAAATCAGTCTATTTAAAAGTGCATTGCAAAGCAACAAAACGGGAACTCTGACCATAGAAGAAGACATGGTGTCGACTGTGATAAAATAAACAGTATCTCAACTTTGCAGGTCTGCAACTTTCAGCGCTCTGCAACTTGATTTTCATGTAGGAAATGAATCAAGCATAGATATACATAAAGTTATGCTTGCATGAGTTGATTGACATGAGCTGCTTCATTTAGACTTCACCATCAGTGGCTCATTCATCAACTGCTTGGCTACAAGCTGACTAATGATGTCCAGTCATATTAATGCAGGTGTACAAAGCAGCATTTAAAACCTGACCCTTGTCACCATTACTCAGCTGATGCTGTACCTCCCTTCACCACCCCAACCTCCTCCTTATGTGCTGCATTACTGCAGGGTTTCATGTCGACGTATGTTAAAAGTTTGTTAAGAGGGGATTGGTTCATATAACAGACTCTCTGTTGCTGCTCAGAGTCTTTGAGAGCTCACTCCAAGAGAAGCGCCTTCTCTGTACAATGCAATTGTGTTGTCGTTTGGTAATTATGGTTGGTTCCCTGAATAAAGTGTCTGTGACTGAAACGGAAACCACATTCACACGTCTAAAATAAAAAAACACAAAGTTCTCCAAAATGGTCAGCAGTACTGCTATCTGTACATTATTTGTAAAAAATGGACTAAACATGCACATGGTTGTTTAAGTAAGAGATAGGGAGTATCTCAAACCATTAACTGATATATATACTATAAGATGAATCAATATAAATACCAGCGGATCCTCTTGACTGGTCACCATCTCCACAGTCTCATCCAGATTTCCAGAGTTTGGTTTTTTTCTGAAAAATAAAAGAAGAGTAAATGTAATTAAACAAAAATTTAAATTCACTGACATTGGACTTGATAAGACCCTCTGATTATGAAGATATCTGTCAATTTAAGAATACAATTGTGAATTTCCTTTCTAAGAACATTTGCAATATGTACTCACATAATGTGACATCAACTTTTTTTCATCAGGGTGTTGTTTAGATCAATGCTCAGATGTTCAGGTGTATGAAACAGTTGAATCTAAGGATATCAACACTGAGCTGAAAGAGCACATTGTGAGTAATATACAGTGTGTTTTTTTACTCACAGATCACATTCAGAGTCACTGTCTCCTCTGTAGTCGATTTCCCTCCGAAGCTGACCTTACAGGTGACCTCTGTGTTGTTGTGTTTTGCTGAAAGGTTAAAGGTCAAAGTTGAACTGTGTTTCTGTGTGACAGCGGTCAGACTCTCAGTCTTGAAATCAGTGATGTTTCCTGTGATGTGGGAGCCTTTCTCTCCTGCTCCTCTCCACGTCCAGGTGATTTGAGGATCAGATCCAGAGCAGAGACCAGGAGCAGTGCAGGTCAGTGTGGTCTGCTGTCCCTCTGTCAGAGGAATCGTCACCTCGGGCTTCTGACTCAGAGCTGAAGGGAGAGCAAATATAAAAAGAGCATTAGGAGGAGTTAGTCGATGAGTAGAGTCAGCCTGGAGGTCGCTATTGGCTTCAAATTACATTAAAATCATATTGTTAAACATTTTGAACAGCAAATAGATCTGAGGTATGGCAGGAATGTTTTTAGGAGAAAAGCTCAGCAGTTTTCATTAAGACTATTTCTTTGTCAGGACATGGTTCCAATAAGAACTTAAGCAGCAGAGACCTTGTCTCCAGAAAGACCTGTTGCTATTATATTTTGGGCATCACAAAAATTAATATGAAAATATAAATAAAGTAATAATAATAACAATTATATTCATGCCCATTGTGTTGCAGTGGCAGCAGAAACCTCATAGTTTGATTTTCAGCAAATAACAACAAAACTTTCCAAGCCAAATGTTTTGGTGAATATTATACTGTAACTGTAACAAATAACACCTTCACTGTACATAAGGCATTTGCTGTGGCTGTTGATACCTGTAACAGTAATAGTTGCCTCAGGTCTGCATATGTAGTAAGCCTCCTCCCCTTTCCAGATACCTGAGTCGATATGATCCAGAGTCTGACTCCTTCAGATCATTGATGATGATGCTGCAGTTTTTCTGACTCATGTCAGGCTCCAACTGTGACACTCGTCTGTGACTAAACCCAGACTGAGCATTTCCGTTGTTACTGGAGTTAAATATTGGTGTGTCAGATTCACAACCTTTTTTATCAGCTGGATCACATTTTTGTACCAAATTACACTTTTGACATCAAAACCAGCAGCAACAGTGAAAGAGCACGGTATCACAACACAGAGTCCAGCCTCTGATCTTATTTCTGCTTCACTAAGGGTGATACAGTAATGAGCAATTTGGCAGCGTTGTTTTCCTCCAGAAAAGGAAGCTGTTCATGAAAAGAGGGGAAAAGAACAAGGTATTAAAAAGAAAAATAAGAGATATTTTTACACATGAAGACATTACAGATTAAGACTGTAAAAGGTATCTGCCTATACAGTTCAGCAGCATTAGGCCACTATGTCTGTTTGTTCTTAATTTGAATTTAACTTATATGTAAAAACAATCTATCTCAGAGTCCCCCTGCTAATGAATAGATGTTGTGGATTGTCCTAATTCCAACTGGCTACAAACTACAGGAATAGAAAAAACACTTACATGTTGCTTCTGGATGGGCAACATTAGTTTTTCAGTGTATTTACATTTTAACATTGAATGCGTTGTCAGCAGCTTCAAAAGATAAGAATTAAATAACAAGATTACATTTAAGCTATAAACTCTTACCTTACTCTTAGCGTTTCCATGTGAATAGATGTTGTGAGTAATGTGTAATATGCTGGTAAATTCAGTGTGGAAAAACTAAATACTTATAATTTGAAAGCTTGTCTGGAGGACCTTCATAAGGACATTTATTTTGGCAAATTACTGCTAACTATTTCATAAATATCTTTAATGTTGGCAACAAAACAAGATTAAAAATAAGAATTGAATACCTGTATCAGAATTGCTGCTTCTCACAGAGAAAAACAGAGTCACCCAGATGAGAACATTGACATAAGGATGTTAACTTTTAATGATACAAGAAGAGATCATTGATGAAGACAGATCCCATTCATTAAAATCTATCTACATTAATCCATTAGTTGATGTATGAGGTCGATAATGTCTCATCCAGTGTTATCAGAATCCTCTCTGATTGATGCAAAAGTTATATAATTCCTACACTGAACATCCAACTTTATTTTTTTTTTTCAAAATTCATTTAGTGAAATTAAAATTATATTTAAACCAGTCTATCCCAGATTTCCCCTGAAAATGAATAGATGTTGTGGATCATCCTAATTTTAACAATCTACAACCAACAAAAAGAGAAAAAATACTTATATGTGGAGCTTGAATTGGCAACATTAGTTTTTCAAAATATTTACAATTTAACACTTAAAGTGTTGTGAGCAGCTTCAAAAGATAAATATTGGAAGCATAACAATATTACAATTAATCTATCTCAGAGTCCCCCTGCTAATGAATAGATGTTGTGGATTGTCCTAATTCCAACTGGCTACAAACTACAGGAATAGAAAAAACACTTACATGTTGCTTCTGGATGGGCAACATTAGTTTTTCAGTGTATTTACATTTTAACATTGAATGCGTTGTCAGCAGCTTCAAAAGATAAGAATTAAATAACAAGATTACATTTAAGCTATAAACTCTTACCTGCATCAGCACTGTTGCCTCTCACAGAGACGAGCAGAGTCGCCCAGAAGAGAACCAACATCCTGATTCAAAGCTGGAGTCAGTCTCTGCAGAACAAATTCTTTCTTTCAGTCTCAACAAACATACAGCAAACAACGTTAAGCTGATGAAAACAACAAATTCAACCACTTTACCCAGTGGGTGCGATTACATGGAAATATTTTTTTTTACCATCTGCTCTTGCAAGGTTAAATGTTATTAATTCTACTTATTTACCACTGTTCAACAACATGTCCAACACAATGTGAATAATTTCTACTGCAACGATCTGAGCACCCCAAACTTCCCCCGCCACTGTCTGTGTTACCATGGGAAACATTTATTTTCATTGTGTTAAGGAAGAATCAATCATTTTTACAGCTTCGAGCTGAAAAATATTTATAAAATAAGTAGAATTTTACCTCTGTCTGTCTCTTCTCTCCACAGTGATCTCTGATGAGTGTCTCTCTTGCTCATCTCCTCCTTCTTTTACACTTCTGGACTCTGTGTTAAAATTGTGAAGGATGTTTCTCTGAACTGTTGTTTTGCTTTTATACCTTCTCTATGACTGATGCTGTGTGAAAATTCAAAAAAGGAAGTAGAAGTCTTGTCATTTTGAAAACCCAATAAACCAAAGAGTAGATGCCCCGAGCAGTTGGTTGTAATACAAAATACAGAGCATGCATAATATGATGTGCGTAACATGATTGGTCTGAATCACAATATAACAATATTTGCAGTGCCAGTTGAGCAATCAAATGAATTTTACCTATGAGGAAAGACAACTTGTCACTGATGAAGTGGATTAAATAGCAACAAATTCCAATCTGCATTTTTCCCTTTTTCCACTTTGCTGTGTAACTGAATAAAGGCTGAAATAACAAGAGAGCTAGCTTGCACTGCAGCTAGCTACTGCAGCTAGCTTGCACTGCAGCTAGCTAGTGCAGCTAGCTTGCACTGCAGCTTGCGTGCTGAAACAACATTCACCTAGTGCTGGCCCAAAATGAACGACCAAATAATTGCAGCTAGCTACTGCAGCTAGCTAGCTACTGCAGCTAGCTTGCACTGCAGCTAGCTAGCTACTGCAGCTAGCTTGCACTGCAGCTAGCTTGCTACTGCAGCTAGCTTGCTACTGCAGCTAGCTTGCACTGCAGCTAGCTTGCTACTGCAGCTAGCTACTGCAGCTAGCTTGCACTGCAGCTTGTGTGCTGAAACAACATTCACCTAGTGCTGGCCCAAAATGAACGACCAAATAATTTCTCCTGGTATTTTTGCCAGTTAGATAAGAATCGAGTTTGTGTATGTAGGCCTATCATATATGCCACCTTGCTGATGATGATACCAGCTCTCATACAAACTTGCTGTTTTCAACACATTTCATGCATGCTACACTGCAGCACTTAAGGGACCACTTGGGAGCAGGGCTTGTCAGGCTGTGCATGTGTCAGTCAGTCAGTACAACTTCCTGTTTTAAGTTAAAGGTGTCAGTTTCACTATACAATCAGTTACTATACAATCATTGTAGAAACTTGAACATGGAGAAGAGTCTCATTGTGTGTAACTGACAGCTTATTGGTAATAATCTCAACTACAGTCAGCATGTTCCTTCCAAGACTGAGTAATCCCTTGACTGTAAAGTTTGTGGTTTGATCCCCTGGTCATGCTTCTAACATGTCAAAGTGTCCTTGAGCAAGACATCGAACCCAAAATCGATCCAAATGAGCAGGTGATTTCCCATCCTGCTGAAGAGCCTTGTGCCATAAAAATACTGCCAGCTCAGTTTTAGTTTTGTGAGTCATGTTATTTTCTGCAACAGTTTTAAAGGGGAAATAAATAATTTATGATTTGTAAAGAGATTTGATTACAGCTCCCATAGGCTATCTCTTCTGTGTTTTCAACATGAGGTTAATATTTTATATAACACATGATGGAACTATAATGATGACAATGGACTGTAATTTGATGTTGGGGCTTGATCAACATGGCCTACAGTTTTTGTATCAGAAATGTCTTGAGAGGCGATCTAAAAGGTGAGAATGTGGGGAACCTCAATGAAAATAAAAAGAGAGAGAAAAGAGAGAGATGTAATCACCCAGTGAAGATGCTCACTGTGACAACTCAAAGTTAGTTTGTATCTTATCTGTTGCTCATACGTTTTTAACTTTCTCCATCAAGTTTTTGCTTTAAGGTTTCAGGCTAATTTGAACAAATATTTTCTCAGGGTGTGTTCATGCACCCAGGACTGGTGGGACAAATATAACACATGACACTGAAGTCTGTGGATGTCTCACTTAAAGATATTTTAGAACATTGAAATTTATATAATATAAACATCTAATGGACACTGGAGAAATTTATTCTAAGGGTAAAGAGTAATTTAACACTACAAAAATCACAGTGTCAGACCAAGTTGAAGATTAAAGAATCAGTAAAGTTTCCTCCAAAGTGCCCAACAGTTGACAGTTATAATTTTACTGAGACTCTCCCTCTAGAGGTATGAAGGTGTGTGTTGCTCAGCAAAATAATGCATATTCAGTTGACTTCCTCTGGATAAAATGAGGTTTATTAAATGTAAACAAAAGGGAAAACAGCATATTATACAATTCAGAATACAGATGACAATTGGGGAAATATTTTAAGCACTCTAGAAAGTGATATACGTACATGAAATATTATGTGTTGAAATAGGATTCAACAGATCAGTCCAATGACAGTGGCCATAAGGAGAACTGATGGGCCATAGTACAAATTGGTGGCTCAACAAGAGAAAAATAAAACATCAGAGAGAGAGAGAGAGAGAGAGAGAGAGAGTTACCACGTGGCCCGCTGTGGTGCTATGTCCCAGTCTGGCAGAAAAGTTCAGAAAAGAAGTTAAAATCAAGAAAAATCCAAATTACATCAAACAGTGCTTCCAGAAGCAGTAATTCTGCAAACAACAGGTGGGGCTGAGCAAAAGAGTGGCTTCAACACCACAGCTCCTAATATGTCCAGTATAAACAAATTAAGTGATAGGTAGAAAACAGGAAACAGGAACTTTGTCTGAGTTTATTTAGCAGGATAATGTTTGATAGCTTTGTTTCCTGCAATGCTTTCATCAGAAAATTAAATACGCTAATTAAAGGTTCTGTAAAGATCATCACTGCCACTAGATGTGGCACTAGACCACCAGCATCTCAGACCAAAACAACGTTCTCAGTCAGCAAGGTGAAAGCAGACACTAAACACAAGAAGCACAACTGAATAAAGTTACCACACCAGAGCCAACAGAAAACAAACCAGCCACAACATTAGCTCACGCTAGCATTGCTGTAATATGCTCCGCAGCAAAACTGCCAGTTAGCCAGCTAGCAATAGCAACATTTACCAAACACATTTAGAATATCAGTAACAACAAGTTATCTAATGTTAACATGCCCTCTGTAGCTGGTTGTTAATAAAAAAGTAATATTATGTAGCCATCACGTTGCTTACACATGGAGGAGAAGAAAAGCCAGTTTTGAGTCAAGCTGGAGCCCTTTAGCAGCTAGGACTATCCACTCGATCCGCTGGAAGACACTGATGGAGCTGGAAAAACTTTAAAAACTGTCTGTCTGTGCTCTCTTTTATGCTGGCAACACGCTGCCTTGCTGATACTTCCAAGCTCTATCTCTCTACATAGATTTTGCGAGGCTACTCGATTGTTGAATTTTGATTTTTTTTTTTTTTTTGACAGAAAATGTCACTAAAACTGTGACTTCATTCTCTGCTCATGGTGCCATTACTCCACTACATTTTTGCATAGAAAATAGTTGTTCGCTGCTATATGATTTCTTTAAATCTCGTTTACAGAACCTATGAAGTCCTCAAAATTATATAAATGTAATTTACGTGCAGGTATTTCTATTTTGTGTATTATTCTACAAAGCATTTAACTTCTGTTTACTGCATGGTTCTTGTAAAGTGTGACATAGGCTACATGTGATGGTGTGTCTCCAGATGGGTTTTCGTGGGCCAGTCCAAGTCCTGGGATGATTTTTATTACCACCCCCTGCATTAGCTGTGTGCACACACAGGATATGGAAATCTTTGTTGCATGCTACAAGAGCATCAACAACAAATTTCCATTGAAATCATTTTCAGTGTTATTTTCATGAAGCTGTGTGAAAGACATCCAAGAGGCACGTAAAGACTTGTCAGTGTAGAGGCTGGGCAATGACATCATACTCTGGTGATCTGTTTGTTTTCTGCAGTGACATATACGTTTTGTCCTCTTGATTTGGTTTCACCTTTGTTCTTGCATTCCTTTGGAGGGAAGAAACAGTGACCCATTATTTGTTGTCTGAAAGTCTCCAGTGCATTAAAAGAGCCTTCAAAACATAAAATATAAATGTAGAAACTTACCACAGGAACAATATGCAGATAATGCAGCAGACATTCAGACTGAGTGATATACCAGTGATGGCCCAGGGAAGAACCGTACAGGATCCATGATGTTGCACAACATCTGCTGTAAGAATTAACATAATATAACAAGTATCCTTGTCAAGGTGATGCATTTTGTCTTGACAATTAATGACCACTTGATTATAAATTATACATATAATTAACTCAATACATTTTCAAAATAGAATGTTTTATGGTATTCGTGAAATAGCTTGTGGCCTGTATTAACAAATAAAAGTAGAGGAACAAAAAAAGAAGAGAACGTGTGGCTGCTGATATTATATAAAATGATTGGACAACAGAATTTTGCAGAGTAATAACACAATATCAGTATATCATTACAATAGAATAAAGCTGATAAACAATAAAATTACACAATAATATTAAATTATCACCCTCAAGCTCAAGCTCTCAGAACTAATTTTGAAATAATTTTAAAATCAGAAACTAGAAATTAAATTAGAAAGATGTAGGATAGATCACGCTGAATGGGAAGGATAACAGGGCTCTGAGAATGTGTGAACATTTAAACCATGTGACTAATGTAACTTTTGTGAGCAAATGTTTTGCAAGGCAAAATGTAAATATGAGAGAGTAACGTGCAGTTTGTGCGAAACTCACAGGTCACATTCAGAGTCACTGTCTCCTCTGTTGTTACATTTCCTGTGAAGCTGACTTTACAGATGATTTCCATACCGTGGTGCTCAGCCAAAGGGGTAAAGGTCAAAGTTGAGGTATATCTCTGATTGGTTGTGATGTTTCCTGTGATGTGGGAGCCTTTCTCTCCTGCTCCTCTCCACGTCCAGGTGATTTGAGGATCAGATCCAGAGCAGAGACCAGGAGCAGTGCAGGTCAGTGTGGTCTGCTGTCCCTCTGTCAGAGGAGGAATCGTCACCTCGGGCTTCTGAGTCAGAGCTGAAGGGAGACCAGTCCATAAGTGGAATCAGGTGAGCAGCCTGAAGGTCATCTTTCACTTAAATTTGGGTTAAAATAATCTGATACTTTGATAAACACTTCAATGAGGGAACCAGTAGAAACTGCTGCAGTTCCTATGGCTGCCCACAGAGGTTGACATATGCCAAACATTACTTTATGTCCCATCAAGAGTATCAATACACCAAATATCAGTCAGTGCAGTTCATAGGCATAACATTCACTGTATGTATTTGTTGTAGCTCTTCATACCTTTAATAGAGACAGTTGCCCTTGGAGAGTATCTTAATCCATCTTGATTTCCATTCAGAATACCATTAACTCTGAGTTGATATGATCCAGAGTCTGACTCCTTCAGGTCATTGATGATGATGCTGCAGTTCCTCTGACTCACATCAGGCTCCAACTGTGACACTCGCCCTCTAAACTCAGACTGAATTTTTATGTTGTTTTTGTTAGTGTTGAATATAACGTCTGAATAACTACATCTTTGCTCAGTTGATACACATTTGTACCAAACTAGATTTCGGGGTATAAAGTTAGAACTAGTAGTGAAAGAGCACGGTATCACAACACAGAGTCCGGCCTCAGCTGTTATTTCTCCTTCAGGCAGAGTGATACAGAATTCAAATGGGAAGCCTGAACATTGTTGTCTTCCTCCCACTGATGCACCTGTTAATGCAACAGTAAGACAGAAACAGGGAATGAGAAAGTTAAAATATTTTGACAATACACCATGACATTAAATAAATGATAAAGAAATGTCATATAGTACATCGACTGTGTCTGAGTTATATAACTGCTGTTGTTAGAAGTGTTGACCAAAGAACACAATAGAATTTCAGTATTTAACACACTTTTATCCATAATAACTTTGGTAAAAAAAATGATTCATTTAAATAACTATTTTATCTTAGAGTTTCCAAATGAATAGATGTTGTGCGTAACGTGTAATGAGCTGGAAGATTCAGGGTGGAAGAACTAAATACTTGCAATTATAAAGGATATTTATCGTGGCAAATTATTGCTAACTATTTCATAAACATCTTTAATGTTGGCATCAAAAGAAGATTATAATAAAAGGTGAATACCTGTATCAGCATTGAAAACCAGGGTCACCCAGATGAGAACAAACATCCTGACCTGGTACTTGAGATGGTCAGTCCCTCTCTCTCCACAGGACAAACTTACAGTAAATGTGCAGGAAGTTCAGTTGATGAAACTGAAATAAAGAAAGCTCCACATTTGTCAGTCCACTTTTTAATACACATTTCTGCATATTCGTCTATTTGTGGTTACTTGAACAAGTTTGCCCACCGCGGGGTGTTGGTAATGTTTCATCATAAAGCCCTTTGTGACATCTGTTCTAGAGGTGCTATATGAAGAAACATTACTACAATACATTTTACAACAGTTCAACAGATCTGATACAACAAACACCAATAATGTTGGTTCCACAGCTGGAACATGGTAGACAGAATTATAATTTCAACATCTTCCATCACCAGCTTTTAAACAGCTTTAAAATGTGTTTACCTCTTTCTGTCTTGTTCTCCTTTCTGGTCTCTTCTCCTCACAACAAGCTCTGCGGAGTGATTTCACTGTGCTTGTTCCCTTGTTTGCGAAACGTTTCAAGGAAGTTTTCTTCACTTTACTGACTATTACTGCCCCTCTGCTCAGATTGCCACATTTTAATACAGTTATGATGTCATGGTGTTACATTATGCATCATATACAAGTTTGGGACACTGCACATTCAAAAGGAAATTGTTTTTATTTTCTTTTTCTTTTCTTTTTTTTTTGTCATTTCCACAACTAACCCCAGCCCAATGACTGTGGGGCAAAAACCTTCAGAAAAGGCAAGTATCGGTTTAAAAACAAAAATGTTGCTACCCTGAAACAATAAGTTAAGTTATAGAAATAAAAGAAATACATTAAACCAGCAGATTCTACTCAAAAAGTTGCATGCATTTATTCCATTTCTCTAATGTGAAGACTGAAAAAGCACTTCTGTTTATGCGTAATATCTCCTTCTCTTTGGCAGTGGAGCATTATCTATTTATGTGAGACCTAAACATTAAGATGATCAATAATCTGTGATGCTGAGCAAGAGCAGTGTGCAGGATATTCTTCTTTTCAAGACTGAAGCAACAAAGATGAAATGTTACAAATAATCTGTAAACTCTCTGTAGGAAGATTGTCCAAATCAACTGTAACCAGAAAATATTTTAACACTGCCAGGGAATGTGTAAATCTTTAAACAAAGTCCCACACTGTCTGTGTTGCATTGATGTCCTCACCTACAAAACAACACAGACTCCAATCCTGATTAAACTTTGCAAACCTTATGTGTGGGGGTTGGTATTTTTTGTTTGACCATGTAAAGCTGCATTTTAAGATGATGTCAATATTTTTCTATTTTGGGATTTGTGACTCTATCCTGCACAACTGTGAAAAAATCTGACAGAAATCTGTCCAAAGACAGTGAGACAGACAGACAGACAGACAGACAGACAGACAGACAGACAGACAGACAGACACCTGCCAAATTTCTCCAAACCACCTCTATGGTAGTCCTGCCACAGTAGGTGTCTCTAGGAACACATTTTGTCATGATGACACACACACACACACACACACACACACACACCCACACACACACACACACACACACACACACACCCACACACACACACACACACACACACACACACCCACACACACACACACACACACACACACACACCCACACACACACACACACACACACACACACACCCACACACACACACACACACACACACACACACAAACAGAGAGAGACTCACAAGGTGAAAACAATACCAGCCACGCGATGTTGCAGCTAGTAAAAAGAAAAGAGAAAAGAGAGAACATGAGAAACAGGCGCTTCACTGTTTGTTTTCTAACAATAATCAACTGTCTCCATTTTGTGTTGTTTTTTACTTTATTTATGTTTGCATGGAACTGAAGACAGATGATTTTGCTTGAGGTGTGAAGGAGTTGTTTAAAACAAAAGAGCAAGCACAGTACATCATTGCAGAAAATCCTACTGTCATTAACAGCGCTAATTTGCAGAGAGATTGCTAAACCCTGATCTGAATTATTGTGTCAATCATATATGTAGAAAAAAACGCTCCATAATAATAATTATGATCACCACAAAGAATAGTACATACAGATTTGCTTTACAACACACTGCCAAAAGGTTAGGTAAGACTTATTTGATATTTCTACTTTTAAAAAAAAAAGAATAAATAAAAAATAAATCCCCCCCATGAGGCATTTTGAAGACAGGAACTAATTACTGACTTTGTGCATACAGGCAATTTAAGAATGCAAGCCAGCGTACTGTATCTGAAACCCTCCAACATCAAGTCAACTGAACAATGTCTTAATAAAAGCTTAATATGATCCAAAACAGCTGGTTGACACTGGCCTTGTTTACATGCACAGAGAACTGCATTTTTAACCTGTTTTGACTTCAAGTGTTCAACGCTCAAAGACACTGGTACCAAGCTTTTTGTATTAAGAACCAAAACATTTTGTTGACCGGCTCAGGTTTTTTGTTTTGTTTTTTAATCTTTAGTATTAAATTCTGACATTTTCAGTCAAATTTATCACAGTGTCGACTGTCTGCACTCTCCATGTTTGATATATTTCAAAGATGACTTGATTCTTTCTGAAGACATTATGTTAATAAAGACATGAGATGGAAACATGCAGCCAAGTCACCAGTTACCAACAATAACTATAATGTGACTACTGAAACAGTGACAGTGGTGCCTTCTCTGAGCTGCAGGTTGAAATTATTACAATCATCACATAGAGTAAAACTGATGAGCATCTGGTAAGAGAGATGAAAGATCTTCCACTTCCAGTTTACACACTTTACATACCCCACACCACAAAGCATTATGGGTAGTTTCATGTCAGAAAAACTGTGATGTATACTTCTATCCTTATCATCTTCTTTTTTTTTTTGCCCTGTGTCAGAGGCGACATGAGGCTTCATCAACATGGTTTATTTATATGAACAGCGTAAACTTAAGGAGACCTCATGGTGTAATTTTGTTGTTTTCATTTTGCCATTGCTGCCTATGAACAGTCTCTGCCCATACAGAGCTACCACAATCTGAGGCCTTTGCTGTGTCTTCAAATCATACTGATTGTTAAACCAATTAGAAACAGCTCACAGAGACATGCCACTGCCTTGATGAACTCAATCTATAATTCTAAATGAGGCAGCCGCAGTACGATGTTGTTTCATAATAAATTTATAAAGCCTTGGTCGTAGCATGTGTATCAAAAGTAATTTCAGGCTTCATGAGGAGATGATTGCACACCTCCCACTAGATTTTACTTCCCACTCGAGCCTTCTATCAACATCAGTACATGCAGTGTAGCAATGTGTGTTGCAGAGGGGAGAATCAGTGGACAAGTTGCATATTTGATTTTCAACACAATTAAGTAAATGATGTTGGAAAGTCAAACTACAACTGTTACTTACTAGTATTTTAGAAATCAAAACTTGACTGGGTCGTTGTTTTTTCACGATTCATTTAGACAAAAAAATTATTTATCATGACTTACAATGTTAAAATAATCCATCATACAACAAACAGTAGACATCAGCTTTTCCACAACATATGTAACTGAATAGAAGTGAAAACAGATCCATTAAAAATTACAATAAATCACGACCAGTTGTCTTATTTAAAATGAGAGATCATGAGTCAGTTAAGGCTGCAGTGTGTCTATCAGCTATTTTTAAGCACTTTTGAGAAAAAAAAAAAAAGAGACAAATGTCCTGAAAGATGTGATCCAAAGTGGAAGAAGCAGAGTGGAGTGGACTGTGAAAACAGTCGTGTAATGTCCTCTGTGGCTCTGGGATAACTTTATAACGTCTAGGAAAAGAAATCCTGCGTTATCTATACCTGAGCTTGGAGACTACAAATTTATAACAGACAGCAGAGTTCAAAACTAGGCGCATGGAGTTTGAAAAACGTGGGCGTTTACCTTGCAGGGAGGTGTTTAATGAAAAGATGCTATTAGCTGCATTACGAGTAATGTAGGATCCAGCGATATTGGAGCTTAACCCCATACTGGGGACTTGCTTCAATCTTGACCGTTATTTTAAAAGTCTGTCTCCAGTGAGTCACCCAATTTAGTAGAAGTGCAGTAATAAATTGCTGTGGTTCCCCTTTAATGGTTCGTAGTGAACACAGCAGATATTACTCTTCAAATCGACTGCAATCACAGTGAATAATAAGGCAACTCCCTGCTTATAAACATTGCCTCTGATTTGACTTTGACTGTAGTGCACACTAGTTAGAGGCTGGGTGCTGATTTCTAAGCTTATATCAAGACAGCATTCAGTCAGAGTGGTTGAATGACGTGCTGCACACTGGCTTTTCTTCATAGTTCAATACTCAAATGTGTGCCTGCTGGCCAAAGACTCATGCGGGGTATTTACTGTGTGTACTGACATCCCTTCCCCTATCAATATACATCTTATTAATATATTATTGACACCATCATTATCAAGTTAGACTATTAGTGAGCTTTGATATTACATCATGGGTTGATCAAATATCTTTGAATAGCACAACCAGCTGGCAAGTCAGCATCACTTTTTGTCATTCAAACATCTGATACAACCCTGCGAGAAAAAAGAAAAAAAAAAAAAAGCATCAGTTTCTCAAGTGAAGTGATGCTCGAACTTCTCCAAAGACCCCAGAGATCAATGTCCTGTGATCTTTCAGCACAATATGAACACACACACACACACGTATACACACACACACACACACACACACACACACACACATTGTCTAAAAGAGATAACACTTTGGCCGCTCAGGCGCAAGAATGATGTGCTTTGTGTCTGTTTTTTCCAAATCAATCACAGAGCTAGGCTCCATGCCTTAGGGGGAAGAAGGAGATGAGACAGACATTTTGCGTTGGCCACAGTGCAGGAAAAAAAAAAAAAAAAAAGAAACTCAACACATTCTACAGTTGGATGCTGGAAAGAAACTGTGACATTTTTCAGAATCATACAGTGTATCACTTAAATTTACAAAACCTCTTCAATTATTTTCAAAAGTGATGGTGACATTTTTTTTTTTTCATTTATTATGAGAGGCTACTGCGTCACAGCACACATTAAATGCAATTATTCGGAAACAAGATTCTGAGATGCGTTTCCATCTCCCTCCTCAGCCGGTTATCTTCTCTTGGGATGTAATTAACCAAAGGAAAGAGAGGAGAGGGGTCGCTCTCAGTCAGCAGACACGCACAAAGATAAGAGAACAAAAAGCACGGTTACTCCTTGCCCCGACGCTTCGACTGGCAGCAGACACAGTGACAGTTACAAGAGCAAATAGTGTGATGGATGCAAGCACTCAGATGTCTGTCATTTGACATTAACATCAACAATCACAATGAGAGAGCATATGGAGAAAGCAACAAAATCATGGTCGCTTGTTAACACTGCATGTTTTAGAGCCCATGTATTACAACTGAGGCTAGAAATTTAAATAATTTCTTAAATATTGTCCAGTGAGTCATGCTCTGACTCAAACAGTACCAGCTTTTCCAAACGGTGGCGAATGAAGGGGGATCCCGTGGAGGAGGGGCAGCATGAGGGGGCGGGGGGAGTACTGGCATCGAATGATATGTTATATGTGACAAATCTGTAGAAATGAGAAACAAGGAGTCATCATATGCAGAGTGAAATCCAGTAGGTGATGGGGGGTTATTATACAGTTTATGGGGCAGAGGATGTGTGTGATACGGGGCTGCCACTGCGTCTCGCATAGCCGAGGGATCAGGGAAGGATCGCGATTCATTTGGCTTTGATTTCCGTGTAGTTGCTGCCGTCATCCCCCCTCCCTGAGGCCCCCTCCCTGGGCCTGGCCCCAATAAACTCCAGAGCAGCGTAATTCAGCTCTTGCCTCTCCAGTCCTGCCATAGAGCCCACAGGTTGATAATCCCCGTCTTCTCCCTGCAGACAGAAGGACCGATGAGCGGCACAAATCACTGGCGAGGTGCCAGCGACACCACAGATGACAGACACCATAAAGAAAAGATGTTAGCGGTTACTGGTCGACATACTGACAAGGAGACTGAGATGTTTCCTGTTAGTTGGGCAGTTTGTGTTAGCAATGAGGCAGCCATGCAGAAGGCAGTTCTGGAAACAAATGGCAGTGTACAGAACACAGAAGCTGATATGCGAGGAGATGCATCTGTCACTGAGGCTTGTGCTTTTTATGGGGATTTGTTTAGGAACCTTACCGTAGTCTCCTCTAGAATGGAGTTAAACTTTGAGCCCAACAGCTCTGTCTTAAGCTGTGCAAGAGTTAGGGGAGAGAAAAAACAGACAGAAAAAATGCAGAGAAGCAATGAAAGCAAGAGAAAACAGTGTTTGGAAAGGTCATGTTGGAGCTAATAGACTGCTTGTGGGAGAGATTCCTTCTATTTCCTCATGTTCAGAGGTCAAAATGGGGTCTCATAATTTAAGACTTGTTTCATTACACAAAAATACAACCCCAAACAACTTGAGAATGGTCATCCAACCCATCTTCCATTATAATCATAATCATTGACACCGGCATGTCTCACCACTTTCTTCCTCAGATTTTGTTTGTCCTTCTTGACTGCGCTGTAGTACAAAGCTGGGTTCTCCAGGACCACGTCCTGCCTAGGGTTGCCATTCTCTCTGGGGGACGGAGTCACATAATCAGACTCGGTCTCGACTGCCACTAACGCAGGGCGACACGCCAAGCCTGGGCATCCATTTTAAAACAACAAGCTCTGCAAGGTTATGCTGGAGGCCAACTGTGGCTGTGAGTGACGTGGTTATTTCATGGGTTTAGTCGCTGAGCTCACACCCACTTCAGGGGTGATTTGCCAGAGAAAGCTTGCAAAATTTGGGGGTCCAAATATGCCTTGAGGCTAAAATAAAGCACCTTGGTTAAGAGGGCTACCTGGGTTGTATTTAGCATAGCAGGTCAAGGATACAGAAGCAGTGTCAGAGCAGGGAATCGTGCCTGCAAAATATAAGGTTAGTCCAGCTTGCTAACCCACTCCACAAGGCAGCCAATGTGGATCTCCAAGGATTTCAACAGGGACTTGTCGTTGCAAATAAGCTGAAATTGCTCTGGAGAAAAGATTCTCACATCCACATCAGTCCCACATTCACTCATATACAATGTGCATCAATGTGTTTTAGAATGGATGACTAGGCTTAAGTGTTTCCTTGGATTTCAGAAAATGCTTAGTGAGGAAAATTACTACTTCTGCCTCGCATTGGCCTCTCCATTAGTTGGACACTTATACTCACTTCTTGTTGTTGTGGCCAACGTATCTCACTGCTGCAATGATGAAGGCTATGACCGCCACTCCTCCAATGGTGCCAACTATAACTGCCATCATGTACTTTTCTGAAAATAAAGGTGATCAAAGTGAAAAATGAGGTCATACCACTTAATTATGGATTAACATTTTCAACTGTACATATAAAAACTGCACACTTTGACAACATTTTGTCATGTAACTACACAGTGTAATAAGAACATATATAAAGAAAAAATTTGCATAGGGACTGTAGACTTTTTTACAGCAAAACCACCATCTTGAACCAAAAAATAAGGCATTGTTCAGTTAATTACAGCATGGTTGCATCAGTTTGTGGAAGTTTTTAACTTCTATCATGTATTTTTCTGAAAAGGAAAGACTTTAAAAGATGAAGCTAATGCTAATTTACATTTTTCTCACTGACCCGATCCCATGAATCTCATTAAAAGACCAAAACCAACAATGCGTTCAGACCAAACACACTATAGGGGCCAATAGTCCATCCTATGTAAACTCCTCTGTAAGATGTAAATCTTTAATTAAGTACATAGTTTTTAACATTTAACTTCCTGAAATGGTTGGGCACTGCAGTCTTTAGCAGACATTATTCAAACAGGATGAAACTGTGCATTTAATTTGGGACTACTTTCTGCTGTGGATCAATACACATTTAATTTACAGCAGCTGAAGAGTGTAAATAAGATCGACTCAAAATAAACTACAGTGCCCATGTTCATCGCAATGTCACCCAGTACGACAGCGTGATGCGTACGTAGCTTTTGCGACAGACATTAGTAGTGAACAGGATCGATTAATTGTTGGTCACCAACAGTAAGAAAAATGTAGAATATCATCAGAGGAGGAAATTCTGATATTATTTTATCAAACGAATCAGTTTATTGACACCGTTGTTTTCAACTCACTCTCCTGCTGTAGCTCCAGAAGTATGCTCTCTCTTCCGTACATATTGTAGATGCTGCAGTGGACGTTGACGGCGGGGCCGCCGTTATCGACCCTCTCTCCTTTCTCCCGCAACTTGATCATGCCTGTGGAGGTGTGACCGTCTGTGTGTGTGTAGAAGTTGTACCGGCCGTCTGTTTCATTGATGGTGATGTTCAGGTCGGGCAGGTAGAACTCGATGGTGGGCTCAGGGTTTCCTGTGGCCATGCAGACACACTGGACACCCTCCCTCACCACTGTGCACTTTGACTCCTCCAGAAGGACTGGGGCATCTATTGAAGGGACGCAGCACAGTGAAGATGAAAAATGATTTTTCTAAAGAATTAATAAAAAAAAAAATCTTATTTTCTCAGTGTTTTGTGAGATTCTGCAAGTTCAATATTACATAAGTAGAAAACTGTACTTCAAACGATCATAACACTTTATGCTGTGATTCTTCATTCTTTTGTCTTTGCACAGCTGTTGAGTGAAATACAAAACAGTGAAGCACTCACACTCAACAGTGATGTTGAGGGAGCTGCTGGCTCGGCCGTGCTCATTCTCAGCCAGGCAGCGGTACTGTCCGTCTCCCTGCGGTGTGATCTCCATGATCTCCAGCACCGACAGCTCGTCAGCGGTGATGGTGCCCACCAGCTCCCCGTCTTTAAGCCAGGTGAGGGTCGGGGCCGGGCTGCCCTGGGTGCTGCAGTGCAGGGCCAGTGAGGTGCCCTCTAGCACCGTCATAGAGTCGTTTACCAGGGGCTCGCGTGGAGGGTCTGCAACAAAAAGTGAAGAAATTTAGGGTTTTTTTTTCTTTTCTTATTCAGATTTGGGAAAAGTTGCTTAATCATTCACATCAGTAAAAAATACACAATGCAATCTTTCATTTAATTTTTCATATTTCATTTTTTTTTTTTGGCCACTTGGGGACAGCAGAAACCAGCTGTGAAACAACACTGACATATTTTCACCTTTTCAACATACATAAAATATAGAGTTAAAAATGACCAAGAAAGGAAAAATGTGGCTTAAACTGGATAAAAAGTCAGTTTTGACTGCTGCTCCCAGGCAACCACAATGCTGACACATGCACAAAGTGTATATGATGACACTGACAGGCATCCAAATGAAACGTACCGTTACCTTGATTAAAATCACAGATTTCTCTAAAAAGTGCTGGAAACATTGGGATACTGTAAGTACACAACTCAAAAAATATAGAACAGAGGACTAGTCATTTTTAGACATTTTAATGTGGAAAAGTTACATATTATACCTAGAAGTAGACAGGTCGAACTTGTGAGTGAACAGCTGCTTATTTACACATCCAGCAGTCACAGAGCAACATTGTCATTCAGTTGAAGTTGTGCATCCGGCCACCTGGCAAATGCAAATCCATTATTCACTCTCTTTTAACTCCCCACAGACTCCCAAGGGAAATATCCAGCTCTTTAGCAGCTAAATGCTCCATTATGTTCACCAACTGCTCACTAACTGTGTCTGTCTGCTGCTTCATGCTGAGCATGTATTGTACAGTGGGTTTATCAGAGCTTTTTCGATGACAACAGCTGCCTCTTGCGGCCAGAAAATGACGCTATGAGAATGGTGAGACAGAATCAGAACAATAAAGTTGCTGAAATGCACTATAACGCTCTGTAAAGCCGAGGGGAGCTGCAGATTCAGATGATAATTTTCTGTAGGTCTCTACTAATGCAAAATGAAATCCAAAAAGAAACTCACAGCGGCAAAAAGTAAATAATGTGGATTGTGGTAATATATAGGCTTCAGGAAGATATTCAGTGGACTATTCCTTTATTGTTCGTGGTGGGAGAACTCAAGCTAATTGTACAATCCAAACTCATTTTAAAACATCACCTGTGTCCTGATTCCCTACTGCATGCTAATTGTACACAGTATATGAGATGGAATAGAGACACAGCTTCTGTCTCAAGAGACTTACACTTGACAGCCAGGTAGAGTGAGGTGTTCATCATGCCGTAACCGTTGTCACCGATGCAGGTGTAGAGTCCCTCCTGTGCAGGTGTCACATCATCCAGGGAGAGCGAGATGTTGGACGCCGTGTCCCACAGCAGCTCCTGGTCTCCAAACATCCAGGAGATCCTCGGGGGAGGGTTACTGTCCACCTCGCAGTGCAGCATCACAGAGCTGCCCTCCATCACCTCTGACGACACATTCACCCACACCGAGCGCGGAGCATCTGGCAGGACGACGAAAATAGACAATTTCATTTCCAAGCACCACACCACTGAATAACTGCCACTTAAAAATGACTAGATCTTTCCTGCTGAAACAGATTTGTCAACATGCAATATAGTCCATAAAAGCAGAACAGCATCATATTTTTGTTTTGGCTTTGTGGGGTTAAAATGCCAACAATGTATTCGATGTGTTCACATTTTTCTATACTTGATGCAAACTGGAATCACAGCCCTTTTGGAATAATACAGCTACATTTCCCACATGGTTCACCTACCTAAAGTTTAAAATCTGCTATTTAACCTGAGCAGATTAGCACAAAGGCCAATGGCCAAATAGAGGGGAAACATGAAGAGTCTGCTTGTATGCTAACCACTTAGACTTTTAGCTACAGTGTGCTAGCAGCATGGTTCTCTGGATAGCAATGTCAGTCTGTCTCTCAGTTGGTTGGTCTGCCACTTCAGTACAGACTAATTATGCTAAAAATTAAATTAAAAAATAATTAAATTAAATAAATAAAAATATTAGCATTCTGACATGCTAAATGAAGATGGTGACCACTGCAGAGATTATGCCTTGTAAGTGTACCTGCATTGTCATTTAGATGTTAAGATTTGCATCTGGATGTCTGGGACTCAGCTCAACCTGGCCTCAATAGACGGACGAGCTAGCTGTAGTGTTGGCTGCACGGTTTTTAAAACTTAATGTTGGAAACACCTGTAGCTTTTTTGGAGCTTAAATGGTGGCACTGCATGACACAAACACTAAAGAAGATCCGTTTGAGTCTGGCCAACTTCTGAGTAATTGCCTGAAGCCACTCAAGAAAGAAATTTGCTTGATAACAATTCATTATTGCTGTTCTTGGAGCCCTCCAATGTCATGTCAGACACAACAGTCTTTTTGAGACTATAGACAAGAGGTGGGAAAGCATCATTAATACACCTACACATACAGTAATCTTGATGCTTTTTAACTTACACTTGATGTCCAGAGAGATGAGCCTCTCGTAGACCAGTGTGGTGTTGGGGTAGTAGACCCTGCAGCCCAGGAGCTGTCCATTGTGCATGGGTCTGGGTGTGAAGGTGAGGGTGTTGGAGAGGACCGCCGTGTTGCTCTCTTCTAGGTAGTCAGAAGAGAACTCCGGGTCGGGCAGGTAGTCGGTGTACATCCACTGGATCTCTGGAGTCAAGTCGGGGCAGTTGTCAGGAGCGTAACACGTCAATTCAAGACTCTCATCACTGACAATCTCCTCTGGGACATCAATGTTGGGTTGATCTGGTGAACAGGAAGAGAAAGACATTACTGGATTTATGTGATTAATAATAATTACAGGAACTGTATTTGTAAAGCGGCATTTTATTTCCATGCAGAGATGCAGCTCAAAGTTGAGCTAGAATAACAATATTGTTCAAATCAATATGATTTCATAAACCTCTCCAGATTAAATGGAAAGATCTCAGAAATGTCTCCTTTAAAATACAAAGGAACCTTGCCACATGGCTGATAGTAATATGAATGGAAATGTACTTTGATTACACAATGATTCTTTAGTTTAATTCCTTTATGGAAGTTAAATCTTTTAAACTGAACCGTCAAATTTCATCACACAACTTTAACAAACAAATCTGGTCATTAATTATATAAGATGTTAAAGTTGAAAGATGGATAAATTGTTGCTTATACTTGGCGTAATACATCATTTCAGTGTTTGTGTTTAATTAATGAAAGAAAAAAACTTTAAAAAATTATTTATTATCAATATTTACATTGAATTGTCATTTTACTATCAGCTATAAACTGTATTTCTGGTTCATTAGCTGCATGTTAATCAATATTCCACTTTATCCTTTATCCTACCGAGAACTTTGAGCTCAGCGAAGTCAGGGAACGTGTACATGTTGGCTCCGCCGAGGTCAGCACGAAAGTAGTATCTCCCTGAGTGCTCTGTGCCAATGTTGTTGATGAGCAGAGTGCAGTTCCTCTGGTGCAGGTCACCCAGCAACTTGGTGCGGCCCTTGTAGCTCTCGTGCACGACGTCCGTGCGTGATTTGAAGACTACGGGAGGGAAGAGTTGAGGGTAGGGTTGGCCGAAGTACCAGATACCGTGAATGCCCCGGTACGGCCTGATGCCGGACGGATACATGAAGGTGCACGGGATGACCACGCACGAGTTTGTCATGGCCGAGATGTCCCGAGGTACCCAAACGTTCCACTGGCAGCTGGCATCTGAGAGGAGATCAGAAACAAGTGTTGAGTGAAAAACGATTACGACATAGTGACACGTGTCAGGTATGTCTGTCGTCATACAAGAGAGAGGTACAGTAATTCATTACCGTTGACGATCAACAGCAGTGTTAAGAGCAGCTCCAAACACCACATGGTCTCTGCTCAACGCTGGACCATAGACCGCTGGAACAGATGACACTCTGTCAGTTACAGTACAGGCATCATCAAGGTAGGAAGAGTCTACTTTACAGCACTGGTGCTGCTGCATGACTCAGACACACCATCTACAGCTAAGGATCACACATATTATTATATATTCAAAATGTTTCTGTGACTCAATTTATACCAATTGCTTAACTATCAATGGTGCAACAAGAGCACCGCACCGGGGGCCCAGTGGCTGTAAGGGCCCCAACACACTTACAGTTTTGAGTCATAGTCTTTTATATTTTTATTGCCCTTATTGAAATTTTCCAAAACAGCATGTCCTATACAAAAAAAAACAATATTTCTGCCCAACACTTAATTAATTTGGTTACTTTATTCCCAAAAAGTTACAAAGTAAAGCTTTCTGGGAAATCCTAATTTGTCTATTGAGCTCTGTCTCTGTCATTTGTAATAACTTGCATGAGTAGATGTCTAGTTTTTTATTTTTTCAACCTGTTGGCAAGGAGCAAGTGTTGCAAGCAGCATAATGTTTAGCAAGACCAAACAAAAAGCAGCGCCCAGAAGAGAAAGGATAGAAGAGAACATATGATGGGGGAAACATATTAAATGAGCTATTTGTCAGATTTTAATATTGAAATTGTAATTTCTACTTAAGTAGGAGATATGCATCTTTGCTTGTTGCTAAGGCTGATTAAAATCAAAAGTGACTTTACTCTAAATTACATTATGTGTCAAAGCAACAAAAACAATTATTCATGGTTTGGGCCACATGTTGGGTGGTTGTGTGAAAAGATTTAAAAAAGTAAACTTTTAAAAAGAGTTAACTGTCTTGTGTCTGTCTTAAAATACTGTGACTTTGTAAGTGTGACTGTGGTTTCACCTTGAAATGCTGATGGTAAAAACAGATAGAAGCTCAGCAGGACAGCTTGTCAGCGGCTCCACTAGAGGGTGTTCACTCACACCCTGACAGCTCGACAGCCTTCCTCTCTGTAAAATAAAATAAATAAATAAATAAATAGTGACATCAGCATCATCAGGCACTGACATCACTCAGAGCTGTAGTAAGTCACACAAACACACAAACAGCGTCAGCGTCAGTCAGCACCTGTTTACTCCCCCTCAGTAGAGTCACGCATTATGGCTGCCACACGTAATCGTCCAACCAATGAATGACTCTCACTGTTGGCTGAGCTCTGACACGACGCCAAACTCCAGTCACCACACATCATGTCATCATTAGATTACTGATACTATCTGTACTAATAATGAATCAGTAGGTATGAGAAGGGACGCTTAACAATATTCACCGATGACAACATATGTGAGCAAACGCAACTGCATAATCATTTAAAATCACGGCAGCATCGAATTATTGTTGCAGAAGTCCTACAGATCTTCACCACATAGATTTGTTAGGAAAGAGAATTTAACCACTGTTTGTGTCGTGGTTGTTTATTTCTCTTCTAACTGACTCCCTTTGTAGTCTGGAATATCAACTTTCAGTTTTGGATCCATTTTAATGTTGACTTCTCTGTTACTGGGTCTTAAATCCAAATGAAGAAATACTGAAATGGTAAGGTTCCATCAAACTAAAAAGAAAAATGTACAAAGAAATAAAAGGGCAAATTAAATTCATCACACATCATCAACATATTGTGTAAAATAAAGAGCCTCCATTGTCAGCTACAGTCATTGCCTTAACATATTGAACATATTGTTTTTCACTTCAAAATCCATTCATCTTATCAGCTGAAGTGTGATTAAAACAATCACATGAACTACAGCGGCACAGTGTTAAATGATACAATATCAAACTGTTATCAGCTGAGCAAAAATCAAACACGTTCCACAGAAAATTACATCAAGTGAACTGCTCATAAAGTCACAACTAAAACGAGATAAAAAATTAAAAAAATCAGCATACTGCATGTTATAATATATTCATATTTCATGAAAATGCAAAAATACTCATTTCTATATAGGAATTACAATAAATAATAAGAGGAAAACTTTTGATTTGGCAGACCGACCCCTGTGGGCTACAGACTTAGGAATGGTGAGTTCCTGCTTTTTGTCCCACTGCAACATAGTTTCAACAGGAGATACATCAACCTTTCAAGTCAGCTGAGATTATCTCTAAAAGATCGTTAAGTGGTACATTTAATCGCTAAATTATACTGACTGGTAACCTAATAATATTAAAAGTTTTTTTTATTCACACTAGTTAAGGTGTTTGAGAGATTTCACCTGATATTTCCTTGCAGTAGCGTTTGTGTTTCATGCACCTGCAAGCTGATAACAGAGCTTGTGTTTTATACATTTCATATTCCTTGAATTTCTTCTGAATGCTGCGTTCGCTAGTTAGCATCAGGTCATATTCCCACCCTGCAGTCTGATGCAGGTGACAATAATAATTCATCTATTTACACTTATGAGTGTAATGTAATGTCATTTATCCGTTATATTCATTTCATTTGTTCTCAAGGAAATCTACATGTGATATAGAAATAAAAATGTATATTAATATCATAACGACTGTTACTTTGGAGTGGATGTAGAATTAATACATGCAGAAGGAGAAGCAGAGGATTTAGCCTCATGCTGTAGCAGCCGGTGTGTGCAGATGGCAGGCCTAAGAGTGGATTGTGCTTTTGAGCTCTGTGATTAACATATCCCAACATCCCCCAGAGAATCCATGACCACTTTTAGCCTCGCTGATGGAGGGAAGTGAAAAATTCTGTTGCTTTGACAGCGTAAGAGGCCATTGATTTGTCTCGCTGCTCATCATGCAGTTCGGCAGCAAAATAGTCTCAGATTCGTAGCTATCTGAACACAAAAAGGAAGTTTACTTGTCCAATAGCTGCCTTCTCCTTTCCCATTCACCACTAATCTTTACACCTGCAACAACTGAATGTCCTGGCCAAAGCCGTGAGCACAAAATCATCATCTTCTGGTGAACTTGTTAGCAAACAGTTGCTTATTTACTTATCCAGGTGCGAGGAAACGACATTATCATTTATCTGGAGTCATATTTCTGCCCAGCTGGTGAATATAAGTCCAATATTTGTTTCTCTTTCAGCCTTGTTTTTGGTCTATACCAAATTCTGAAGGAAATATCTGCCTCTTTAGCTGCTCCAGTTGCTAACCTTGTCTTTGCCACTTGGTGCTGAGCAGGCTGTGAGAAGAGCTGCCCCCTGCATCCGAAAATCACGCTAAGAAAGCAATGAGAGTGAGCCGAGACAGGAAAGCTGAGAGACAGACAGATAAACACTGGGCTGAAACTGGCTACAAAGCTCCACAAAAGCAAAGGGAGCTGCAGAGTTGGATCTCCCGCTAACCCTCTCACCTTGTCATTTCATACATGGTTATTATAAAAACATCTCAGATTGAAAAAGGGGTCACACTTTGAAACGTCTTGGCCCATAATGCCACACTGTAGTCTGTGACAGTCTTAACTTTTCTCCAGTGTTGTGTCAAGCTCCACCATCTGCACTGCAACAAAAGGCCAAGAGCCGGGGCGAGTGTGTCCAGGCAGAGAGGCCGTGCATCAGCGGCAGCAGGAGAGAATAGGGCCGAGCAGCCAGGCAGGGCCACTGACACCACCACCAACCCCCAACCACAACGGGCCTCATTGATGGCGCAGACAAACGGCTGGCACAGAGCACAGAGCATACGTGCGCACACTTACACACACGCGACACGCACACAAAACACTTGCCTCATACCAGCCTCAGCACCAGGCTCCTGGTCCCTCTCAGTCCTGACTTCTTCTTCTTCTTCTTCTTGATGTTTTTGTTCTCCCTGAGTTGGTCGTCCTGCTCTGAATCCTAGCTGTCAGATTCTGTGGGAAAACGGACAGAAAGGGGAGATAAAGAGAGATGCTAGAAGGAGACAAGGAGAAGGGGAAGAGAGGGAGTCTGTGTGAGCTCTGGTTTACATGTGTCGTGGGCAGCTCTGAATATGCGTTCAGGCATTTCTGGAGCTGTTCTTTGGCCCACTCAGCATTCCTTTCCTCTGTTCCACCATTTCCCTGAGCCGTCCCATGTGTGTCGATGCCTTGAACCCTGGGCCTGGATCATACTTCCCTCTGAGGTCAAAGCAAAACATGTTGACATTAGCTGACCTTTCTAATGCTAATGGTGCCCAAGACACAAGGGCAAAAGCTACAGGGCGAGCGAATGATGACTCAGTATCATTTTGAGTAAGGCTGCGTTACAGCAACATACGGAGAGTAGGAGGAACGTAGAACTGGCGAGATGAATATGGTTATGTAAATAAATATAGAGTTTGATCTTAGAAAGGTTCATTTGTTTGAAAAGCTTAAATCACACAAACTCAAGATAGCGTTTGAACCTGAAGCCACATACAGATAAACTTGAATATCAGAAATGGAGAAAAGGGGCATGATGATTGATCTTTCCAGACATATGCAGATCCAATATTTTCCCTGCCGAGGAATGTTTGTAGGCGAGGAGCATGGAGCCACACAGCGGTCCACCTAGTTTACATATGACAGTAACAAGGGCAACTTGTCTACCAGAGTGGAACTTTTTTTTTTTTCTCCATCTTCATTGTTACATGTAGTGTGAGTCACTGTATCCAAAAGCCGTTAGGCCACCGGCCAAGTGATGGCATCGACCGAGCCGTGGATAACCTCAAGGGAATCCCTCTGTAAACAGTCTGGAGACGAGCTGAAGAGGAGAATGCAGCATTGATGGTCTGGAGCTGAGTACAAATGAATACGCAGCATGCCATAACCAACCCCCCCCCACCCCCAACCCCTACACAAATGCAGCGTAAGGCATGCCAGCAAGCTTCTCAGTGTGGGTGTGCAGCTATGTGGCCTTCCTCTGATTCTCCTCTGTGCCGCTCATAAGCTCAACCTGCTCTATTGTCCTGCTGGGACTGTAGTCATTGTACATCCAGTGTGAGTGCATTAAATGTGCAAGAGCAGAACCGTTTAGATAAGGAACACTGCATCGTGTTTGTTTCTGTGGCCTTTTTTCACAAAGATAAAAGGAAATAGGAACTTTACAGAGAACTCATTAAAAAAAAGCTTTCAAAGTAAGAAATGAGGAAACAAAATAAATGACAATAAAAAAATGTTTAGACCTGAAGACATGTAATTTAAATGTACATCAGTGCATAGTGATCTTTATCCCCGTTTTTTTTTTTCTGCACAACTTGTGCAGAACTTCCACTTCTATTATCATAGGTAATCAAACCTCAACATGATCAGTGATTGCACATCACGCTTCAGGGATACAGATGCTGTCTGAACAATCATTTCTGCTAAATTAGGCCACGACACCTTTTATGAGTCATTTTGCATTATTGAAATTGCTCACACAAACAGTCAACTGTGCCAAGAAGAACATTTTCATTGTGAATATCATCTGCCGCTCATGCACAAGAGCTGCGGCTTGGCTTTTGGACTAGGGGGGCAAAAAAGAATGGGAACCTTGTATGCAGAACACTGCCCATTGTGCGAGGGTGAAACTAGAGGAATTTTTCCGGAACAGGCCCACTCACAGCTTGCGCTTTGCTGTTTGCCTGTGACGCGCGTTGGTCCACGACAAGCTAAGGCCCCCACTAAAATACTCAGAGGAGCAGATGGTCTTAAAACATGACTGCTCCCCCTCCCACACATGGTGCACTGAGCTGCGATGAGTCCAGTGCACTACACATGCGCACACACACACACAATATGAAAAACATAAACATGCAGGAATGCCAATATCCAGTCACACAGTCTGTCCAAGGTGCTGCAGAGTGCTGGCATTAATGACAGATTCAGACTGGACTTATCTGCTCGCCTCTTGCAGTTAATACTCTTGTATCTAAAGTGCATTATTTTTTCTTGCCCATGATGTATGGAGTATTTTAGGGTACTATTGATCCTCACTATTCATCTGTTTTTTTATTCTCCAGTTGCTGCTGTGACATGTTTATCTTATTATCTGAAGTCTTTCAAGGTA